ACACTTTTATCTTGAAATTTAGTGAGAGATTATTTTATAATGCTACCGTCAATCAAAGCAAGATAAGATGCATAAAAGATAAACATCACATGCAATCGATATAAGTGATATGATATGGCCATCATCATCTTGTGCTTGTGATCTCCATCTCTGAAGCATCGTCATGATCACCGTCGTCACCGGCGCGACACCTTGATCACCATCATAGCATCGTTGTTGTCTCGCCAATCTTATGCTTCGACGACTATCGCTACCGCTTAGTGATAAAGTAAAGCATTACAGCGCAATTGTATTGCACACAATAAAGCGACAACCATATGGCTCCTGCTAGTTGCCGATAACTCGGTTACAAAACATGATCATCTCATACAATAAAATTTAGTATTATGTCTTGACCATATCACATCACAACATGCCCTGCAAAAACAAGTTAGACGTCCTCTACTTTGTTGTTGCAAGTTTTACGTGGCTGCTACGGGCTTAGCAAGAACTGTTCTTACCTACGCATCAAAATCACAACGATAGTTTGTCAAGTTGGTGTTGTTTTAACCTTCGCAAGGACTGGGTGTAGCCACACTTGGTTCAACTAAAGTTGGAGAAACTGACACCCGCCAGCCACCTGTGTACAAAGCACGTCGGTAGAACCAGTCTCGCTAAGCGTACATGTAATGTCGGTCCGGGCCGCTTCATCCAACAATACCGCCGAACCAAAGTATGACATGCTGGTAAGAAGTATGACTTATATCGCCCACAACTCACTTGTGTTCTACTCGTGCACAAGCATCAACGCATAAAACCTAGGCTCGGATGCCACTGTTGGGGAACGTAGTAATTTCAAAAAAATTCCTACGCACACGCAAGATCATGGTGATGCATAGCAACGAGAGGGGAGAGTGTTGTCCACGTACCCTCGTAGACCGAAAGCGGAAGTGTTAGCACAACGCGGTTGATGTAGTCATACGTCTTCACGATCAGCCCGATCCAAGTACCGAACGCACGGCACCTCCGAGTTCAGCACACGTTCAGCTCGATGACGTCCCGCGAACTCTAATCCAGCAGAGCTTCACGGGAGAGTTCCGTCAGCACGACGGCGTGGTGACGGTGATGATGTTGCTACCGACGCAGGGCTTCGCCTAAGCACCGCTACGATATGACTGAGGTGGAATATGGTGGAGGGGGCACCGCACATGACTGGGAGAGATCAACTGATCAACTTGTGTGTCTAGAGGTGCCCCCCTGCCCCTGTATATAAAGGAGCAAGGGGGGAGGCTAGCCGGCCCTCTATGGGCGCGCCAGGAGGAGGAGTCCTCCTCCTAGTAGGAGTATGACTCCCCTTTCCTACTCCTACTAGGAGGAGGAAAGGAAGGAGGAGAAGGAGAAGGAAGGAGAAGGAGGAAAAAGAGGAAAGGGGGGCCGGCCCCCTAGTCCAATTCGGTTTGGGCTAGGGGGGGCGCGCGCCCTGCCTCCTCTCTTCCACCACTTGGCCCATGAGGCTCATTACTTCTTCCTCGTATTCCCGTAACTCCCCGGTACCCCCGAAAATACCCGAATCACTCGGAACCTTTCCGATGTCCGAATATAGTCGTCCAATATATTGATATTTACGTCTCGACCATTTCGGGACTCCTCGTCATGTCCCCGATCTCATCCGGGACTCCGAACTACCTTAAGTACATCAAATCACATAAACTCATAATACAATCGTCACCGAAACTTTAAGCGTGCGGACCCTACGGGTTCGAGAACTATGTAGACATGACCGAGACATGTCTCCGGTCAATAACCAATAGCGGAACCTGGATGTTCATATTGGCTCCCACATATTCTACGAAGATCTTTATCGGTCAGACCGCATAACAACATACGTTGTTCCCTTTATCATCGATATGTTACTTCCCCGAGATTCGATCGTTGGTATCTCAATACCTAGTTCAATCTCGTTACCGGCAAGTCTCTTTACTCGTTCCATAATACATCATCCCACAACTAACTTATTAGTTGCAATGCTTGCAAGGCTTAAGTGATGTGCATTACCGAGAGGGCCCAGAGATACCTCTCCGACAATCGGAGTGACAAATCCTAATCTCGAAATACGCCAACCCAACATGTACCTTCGGAGACACCTATAGAGCACCTTTATAATCACCTAGTTACGTTGTGATGTTTGGTAGCACACAAAATGTTCCTCCGGTAAACGGGAGTTGCATAATCTCATAGTAATAGGAACATGTATAAGTTATGAAGAAAGCAATAGCAACAAACTAAACGATCAAGTGCTAAGCTAATGGAATGGGTCAAGTTAATCACATCATTCTTCTAATGATGTGATCCCGTTAATCAAATGACAACTCATGTCTATGGCTAGGAAACATAACCATCTTCGATTAACGAGCTAGTCAAGTAGAGGCATACTAGTGACACTCTGTTTGTCTATGTATTCACACATGTATTATGTTTCCGGTTAATACAATTCTAGCACGAATAATAAACATTTATCATGATATAAGGAAATAAATAATAACTTTATTATTGCCTCTAGGGCATATTTCCTTCAATCCTGGGATGACGGGGCTAGCCGGTGAGTTGATGTCGACACGACCTACCCCCTTAGAGATGAATGTGAAGGAGCCAAAGGTTAGGCTCTCTCCCGACGGAAGGCCGCCAGAAGCAGAAAAATATTTGATCCAAGATCAGTCTCCAGCCAGCGCCACCCATGCCTGGCGCACTAACTGGTGCAAAATACCGCCAGTTTCCTCGGTATGGGTCCAAGCGCAGCTGGAAGTCCTTGATTGAAGGTCACACCAGGGTTTATCTTGGTTCGGGCCTCTGAAGAGTAATACCCTACGTCCTGCTGGTTTTCATTATTCATGATGGAGGGATACCTCATGCGAGGGGTTACAATGGTGTATGCGATTGCTACCGAGAGTTTTCTACCTATGGATAGATGATGAGGAGGACCCTAGGCCTCCATTTATATAGACATGAGAGGTCCAGGGTTTACATGGCGGTACATGCGATCAGGGGCACTTCCGCCTTCTAATCTTGGAGGGCACGAAGGTCGTCATCGCCTTCTAGGGTTTGCTCCTTGGAATGGGCCTAGTGGGCTCCTTATAGTTGATGAGGCCGGGCTCTATGGTGCTTAGCCACCCCCGATACATAGGACCCCATCAGTTGCCATCACTCAAAAGAGGGATGGTCGCAGAGGATTCTCTAGCGACGGTGGCAGCTAAGCGCCTCCTCCTTGCCTTTGACATGGTCGTGAGGAGGGGAAGTGGTGAGAGAAAATCTGGTGTCGCGCTCGCTCGAGGCACTTACAAGAGCGCAAAAACAGTGAGAGAAAGGAGAAGCATCCAAAATCGGGCAAAAGTAACCCTCCCCACAGTGTGCCTTTAAATAAGCGAGCGGAGGTGAAACGGTTAGCATTGAAATCTCACCAGTAATGGGATTCAAAACGCAATGTTGTCAAATCATCCACCACACAGAATCAAATCCCGAGTCGTCATAGGAGTAACCGCCCGAACCATGCGCTGTAATTGAGGCAACATCATTACTTCGTGGTTTCGCCGCATGCCACGTACAACCGACTACTACTACTACTACGACGACGACTACAGTTCATCATGTGCACGTTTTGCATGGGACCCAAGGTGATCACACCTTGGTACAGTGGCACATGGCGTAACCCACTCGATGTTCTGCACTCAATGCGCGCAATTGAGGGGACATTATGGTCAAATATTCCGTTTGACGACTGTCATCCTTCGTGTTGCCTATGGTTCGGTTTTGACTAAAGCTTGACCATGTTAGGCGTCACATCATGCATTGGGCAAACCAAGAGAGGGGTACCAAGTACCTCTCCGAGCAGTTCCAGGTTTGCACTTGGTGCTCTACCAGACACGTTCATACTCAGACATTCATTTTTGTTTAGAAAAAAGAGTCAATGACTACCTCTCACAAGTCATAGCTCACTCGAGACGCCAAGCATATATGGATTCGGCAACCCCTGTGACACTAGCTAGTTGGCCCCCTAACCAAATGCCCAAGTTGGATGGCTGAGTTTTGAAGATGAGGATCGGCACAAACTGGCAATGACCCACTAGGATAAGACCAGGTGTTCTTCAACATCACTCGGGATCCATGATATGCTCTTTGACGAGCCACAAGCCAGGCTCCCCGCTAAGCATGTAGGGTATTAATGAGTCTGGTACTTAAAATTGCTTTTAGGTAACCTTTTCGATACGCTTTGAGCAAGGCCTCGACTCAGTCGGCTAGATGACTATCACAGCCAGTTCCCACCAAAAACTTTCCTCATCCAAGGAGTCGGCGCGATCCCAGAGACCTTGAAGGACTCGGGGGGTTACTGGCGGTGGGATCCCCCGGGGTAGGCCCACGATCAGGATTCGACCCAGTAGGCTCAAATGGGCTGAGTTTTTGCCAGGAGATTCACTCGGCTGGCTCGATATCGATCAACCCAGTTGACATAACAACCAAATCCCAATCGTCAGAGAAGCCGACGTCCATCAGACTGACTCAAATGTGGTCACTCAAGACACCCACTGTATGTAAAGAATCTAGGTACGTCGCATGGTGTAGGTTTGATAGATTGTCTACACAAAAATCTCAAACCATGACTATTGCCGCAAAAAAACCACGACATTGATGACGTGGACAATTTTACCTATCAGCTACAACGACATGAACCTTTGAATGATACTCCTATAGGTCTGTCCCCTAATTTCTCCCACCTACCACCTTAATTATCTTCCACAGCTTGATCCCGTTCCTTCCTCTCATCCCCATATATCCGTTGCCGATGAATCTCCTGTAAACCCGCACTACCACAGTGCGACTGCCAAGAGCCCACGACTGGCACCACCCACCTTTTCATCGTCTCTCCTATCCCGAGCACTTCGCCCTTTGTAGCAGCAAGACACCATCAGAAAGGCAAGTTGGTGAAGCTTGCACAGATACAGTGTCCGTGCGGACATAGGAAACAGGAGATGGTCTTGCACGCCATTCTCCCCAAGGTAGCCGTCCACTGGCTCATCAACTTGTACCGCGCGGCCAGGAAGCTCCGCAGCAATGCCTTCCAGTACTGCCGTAACTCCACCACCACCACCAAGCCGTCCACCGAAGCCATCTCCAGCTCCGAGCGCACCATGCCGTCCGCCGCTGATAGGACGGTGGTGTGCGACTTCCACGGCGGGCTCCTGAGGTCCACCGGCATCTTCCCCTACTTCATGCTCGTCGCCTTCGAGGGCGGCAGCCCGCTCCGGGCGCTGGTGCTGCTCGGCTTCTCCCCCCTTGTATGGATACTCGGCGAGCGCTCCGACGCCGGCGTCCGGATCATGACGTTCGTCACCTTCGTCGGGCTCAGGCCACGGGACGCGGACCTTGTGGCCCGCGCCGTCCTGCCAAAGTTCTACATGGAGAGGCTCCACGCACAGGTGTACGACCACCTGTGGCTGCCGGCGAAGAGGAAGGTGGCGCTGACGAGCACGCCGAGGGTAATGGCGGAGTGCTTCCTTAAAGAGTACATGGCCGCCAACGTGGTTGTCGGGTGCGAGCTTCAGATGGTTGAGGTAGGGCGCGTGTTGTATTTCACCGGGCTGCTGTGCGGGTCAGGATCAGGCCCGGGCCTGGGGCAGAAGGCGCTGAGGGAGGCGTTCGAAGCAGACGGCAACATGGCCGACGTTGCCGTCGTCGGGAGCTCCAACCCACTCGACCACCTCTCTGCCCCCTACTGCAAGGTGCATTCGTTCGCGCTTTTTCTCCTTATTACTTCACTGGGTGTTTGGTTTAGAAGTCCTAGGACTTTTTCTAGTCCCAGGGACTAATCAAAAAAAACTCTTTAGTAGAGTCTTTTTCTAGTTCCCGTAGAAAAAGTCCCTCCCGTTTGGTTCCTAGGAACTTTTTAGGGACTTTTTCTAATCTCTGGGACTAAAAAGTCCCTGAACCAAACACCCCCATAGTACTATACGTACGATTGTCTTTAGTTCATCACTGTACCCACGTAGTCCCAAGTCCCAACGTTCCCAAGTGGTGACTTCTTTTGCATTGTCTTGCGTGCTTAAATTCAGCGTGGTGCCCTACAGTTTCGTTCTGTTAATTTTTATGAAAAATGTTAGAACATCTTATATTTATAAACGGAGTGACTAGTACTTACCTAAGCACAGGGCACAATTACTCGTCCAAACGTACTCTCACATCCTCCTTTTCAAAAGAATATGTACGTGTAAATGACATCCGATAAAATGCATCACCAAGTCATTTTGCCCTTACAATTATTATGCCAGCACCTGAAACATCATGTACAGATGAGCGGAGAGAGGTAAGCCTTTTGCACCAACGGATTTCTCGACGAGCACTGCTATGCACACTACACTTTGCCAACGATTTGTGCACGACAATCAATTGCTTCCGTCCATGCATGGCAACAGACGTCCATCGTGCGGCGGTCGTGCACACCATTCATCATCTGCACATCAGTTCCGTTTGTGGACGCTTCCAAGGAATAATGGGGAGAGAGACTCTTTTGAGCGCAAGGAGATAAGTCACATATGTACCTTTTTTTAATCACTTTCAGCTATCGCGTTCCCAACCGTCTCCATTAATAATATTTAGAGAGAAAAAAGACGTGACCGTACTACGCGGACAGGACTCCCTGTCTTGTACGTGTGGCAGCATGATAAGTGTGGGGTCGGGAAGAAAAATAGGGGAAGGGATGTACCACTCCTACTTGAGCAATAACACACCGACGGGCCGACACTAGGCAACTCAAATTTACTTTTAGATTTTGGCTACACGCTTTTTTGGTACTCTGGAGGCGGAATGGACACACCTTTTCTTTTACTGGACAGAAGAGATGGATAAACTTGGCGAGACACTGGGAGTGTCCGATCTCAGATCCAATCTCTGGTGTGGTCGGTACATGGGAATCTTTAGTATGTTTGGTGACAGTTAAAACCTTGTTCTTCCTCCCAAGGCACCTCCCGCAAGTGCCTATACAGCGGCAAACATCGGCACGACAGAACGAGGCATTAACTTGGAATTGCATTGAAGCTTTGCATCTCATCCCCCCAAAAAAAAAGCTTTGTGTCTGTATTGAAGTGGCAGCATAGTGGGGAGTTACAGGAGCGAGGAGAATGGATTTTGCGCGCTCCTGGCAGAACAAATTTTTTTTTGAAAAGGAGGTTAAGACCTTCAATCGGGCTTCTGCATCAATCATACGGTCATCTTTATTTATTATTCAACATGAGTCTAATAAGAACATATATCAAGCCACCCGAAGCCATCACTCACACCTATAAAACTTGATAATGTGGAGTGCTCTCACTCTTTATATCTAAAATCGATGTCGTCGCCAGTCCATCCGCATAACATATCGGAACCCACAACCAGGGCAGCGGACCTAAAAGCGTACACCATATGCACACGTTTTAGGCGCTGCCATCATCATCGAACCGCCGATCCATCTTCGAAAGAGAGATCTGCATCATCCTTGCTAGTCCATTCATCCGTCAACGCCGTCGCTTAGTTAACAAATTTTGAAAACTCGGTTGAAAGCTTTGGAAAAAAACAAAAAACCGGTATGTTGATATGAGGGTGCATCATGTGCCAGTAACTTATTGTGAAATAGTCATTTATTCGCAAGGTATGCAAAAAAACGTTGGTGAGCTAGAATAGCCATGTTTCTGATAGAAGTGTCTGCATTTGTTATTTTTCTCACAACTTACAAACATGGTAGAAAGCATGGAACCCCGTCTAAAATCAACCGGTGAATATCGAATCAAAGTGAGAAGCGCCTGTTTCAAAAATTAAGTTGATGAAGAGAAAAGGCTATTTTATACTATGTGTTTTGGTTGGTGATGGCAATGCTATCAATTGAGCTTTTGTCGATCGAGGGCAGACATGATTTTCTTGTTTTGCTTTAGATAAATGCCACCGCAATTCTATCGATTTAGAGAATTGTCACTGCATCTTCCCTCTTTTGAAAAATGCCACTACAACTTTGCATCGCCCTTATAGATGCCATTATGTAAAATTTCTGACTGAAATAACCCTGTCTTCCTCCTTGTCCTCTACTTCCTTCATCCACTCCTCTCTCTCTCTCTCTCTCTCTCTCTCTCTCTCTCTCTCTCTCTCTCTCTCTCTCTCTCTCTCTCTCTCTCTCTGCGTAGGTGCTGCCATGGCTGCCTTGTTGCATTGGATTTGTTGGCCCGCCTGACGGTAGCACGCCACGCAGCTGCACCCCACAACTCGCGCCCATCTACACCCCTGCATCGGCCACCATGCTCTGCGATCGTCGTTCAACCTTTGCTTGCCAACAGCTGGAAGAGAGACACATGGGGGAGAGAAAGAGCAGCAATACACCACCACATATAGGAGCCCAAAGAACTCATCGGAGATGCCACCATTCCTGTTGTTACTGCATGCGATGCCGCATTGTATTTTTCTGCTGATGTGTGCTAGGTGCACAATTGATGTTGTGTGGCTACTGATTTGGCGGGGAGCAGGGCTAGCTGCTGCGATCTGACATGTCTTTTGATCTTCTCCCAAATCATTGAATCTGATGGATTATGCCTCTCCGAGTGATGTGGTTACTTGAACAACTGCAGCAGCGCTGCTGCGGGGAGCCAAAGAGATGGTAGGATGGCGATGCAAGACGCGCTACTGGCGGGAGACAGGTGGGGCCACAGGAAGGACACGCTGGAAGGAGATGCCTGAGGGAGGACACGGGAGGGAGATGCCGGACGGAGATCGAGGGAGGGAGTCATCGAAGAGGCCTCGCCATGAGTTGTAGTTGCTGCTTTTGGAAAGATAGGAGGATGTGGGCTATTGCTGCTTCGGGTGAGAGGGGTATGGATGAAGGAAGAAGAAGACAAGGAGGAAGATAGGGGTATCTTAGTCAGAAATTTTACATAATGGCATCTATAAGGACGAAGCAAAGTTGCAGTGGCATTTTTCGACAGAGGGAAGTTGCAGTGACATTTCTATGAATCGATAGAATTGCAATTGCATTTATCTAATTAACCCTTTGCTTTAATGAGGGTCCGGACCCCTAAGGTGTTTTACCAACCAAGGCCAAAGAGAGATAATGGAGAGTTGTCTGAAATGAGCATAGATTGCAAACTTGACTAATGCAAATGAAATTATGCCATTTACATATGAGATTAATTTTGATAAATTTGGATGGGTGGAAAACATATTTTTTAGAAAAGGAGCAACCAAGCCCGCCAGAGCTCTAGTGAGCACTTTAAAAAAAATCCATGACATACATCTCAAGATATTCTGAAAACATTTTCCATGTACATATAGATGTATTCGACATATTCGTATAATTTATTAGGAAATACAATCATGTGAGCTACACAATAAAAGGAAGAACTCATGGATTTATAATAGTAGTGTGTGTGTGTGTGTGTGTGTGTGTGTGTGTGTGTGTGATGTGTGTAATATTTGCCATATTAAAAGCTAGGTGTTTTTTCTGTACATATGTATAATAACATATATTATATTTGATAGATAAATTAAACCTCGCTATTGAATTCATGCTCCAGCCCACTCGGTTCTTGAACTTAAGACCTCTTAGTTCGGTTACCATATTGAAATCATGCTCCAGTCAACTATTCCAATAGTCCGAACTGATGGAGAGAGACGGGCAATATATTTCAACATCGTATCAGAGCCATACATACACATAAAAAATGGAATTATTACTATTATCTTCTACTTTTTAGAAAATCCGGGTGACTTGAGTTCGAGATCCAGAAGAGATTTTCTACTTGACATCTCACACACTGTGGATGTGGATGAACTAAGGGTCTAGGAGCGAGAACTTTATTTCACCTTCACGAAGCCGCCACCTCCTCGCCGTACTAAGCAAGACACATAAACCCTAAACAAACTAGAAACACCTAGACACAAAAGCAATAGCCTTCCTGTCGGCAAGGGCCAGGATCCACCACGCGTCCCTCAGCCTAAGGTCACAGAAACGAGACAGATCGGCGGTGGCTCCAATAGGAGGTTGTGGAAACCTCACACGTGGAAGTCGCGCTTGCAACTATGGGAAGTTGTTTTAGTTCCCCTTTATCTGCCCCTTTTGCATTGTTTCTTTTTTGCCAAAACAAACAGACAAATGGTGGTTCATGGTTTGTTTTGTCTTGTAGTTGTGACCCAGTCTTGCTCCTTACCATCCAGCCACGGACTGTGCAATCTATGTGTACATTGCGTTTGGCTAAGCTGGTCATCATAGAAATACCTAATTATTGTCTAACAAAATAGAAATAGTAACCGTACTTTATTGCGGGAATTGGTTAGAATTATTTAATGATTTTTATATGAAGCATTCGTATTATGCTATTAATATAATAATTAAAACCAAAATGCATATAATTTGTTGTATTTCATCTCTCCGTATATATTTAAAGAAAATGTAGAGTTCAGTCATCCACTAAAATCTCCTCCAACTTAATCTATGTTCCTCTCTCTCTCTCTATCACTCTCTCTCTCTCTATTGATTTTATCCTTAGCAAAAAACTCGACTTTTTTGACAAATAAATTTTGTTTTCTTTAGTAAGCAAATAAATGCTTACCAAACAAGTATTTACATAATAAAATCATTTACACAATTTAACTAATATGGTCAACACACGCACAATTATGTACTTATTTTATAGTATTAGAACAGTATTGAATATAAGAATATAAGTAGCATGTGCAGTGCATGTTAATGTAGTTTTTTTTCATGCAAGGTGACATGTTAAGTTCGTATAATTGTTTGTTGAGAGGATCAAAAGTAGTATGATTCAAATATTTAGGTACAATGTATTCTACAAAAAATTGAATACCTTTCAAGCTTTTTCTAAACCATGCATCAAATAAAAAAGGCTAACATATGGGACTAGGAGAAGCATGCACACCTATATCCTTGGCAATTTAGTTAGTTTGGAAAACCTACTAGATGATTGTCGTCACTAAGACTAATCACTAATAGAATTTTAAATCACTAGAGGATAATACATGCTTTGTTACGCCATTATTTAGTTTTGGTATTAATTATTTTCCTCCCAAATGTTATTATGGAAATTCATATTTATGAATATATTTTGAAATTCAAGAACATAGTTTAAATTCTTAAGCATTTTGGTAAATTAAAAAAGTTTTCTGCAAAATTGTGAACATTTGTTCATATGTGTGATCTTCTTTAGATTTACAGATATTATTAAAATCCTTGAATATGCGTGATCTTCTTTAGATTTACAGATATTATTAAAATCCTTGAACATTTTGTAAATTTCGTGATCATTTTTTAAAATCCTGAACAATTATGAAACTCGTGAACACAATTCATAATCCACAGGTATTTTTTCATATTCGTGCATAAATTGTGATGTAATAAATGTTTTTTAAATTCATGGATATTTTTAAAAAATTGTCAACTTTTTTTTGAAAAGTGTTTTTGAGGGAGCGGAGGTGTGGTCACGGGGGAGAGGCCATTGACGCGGGAGATGTTTTTGATGGAACTGTATAGGGTGTGTGACGTACATGGTGAAGGACCAGATGCAACCCCCCCCCC